AAGTGCTGTGGATTGCTGGCTTTTGCTTTGCTTTTGTTCCCCCCCCCGCCACCGTGTTATTTACGAGTGCTACCTCCACATTCACCCCGTAGAACTTTGTCTACAGTCTCAGCCACTTAAGGGAATATTCCTGGATATTCACTAGTTAGTTGAGCTTCTCATGTAAAAACCCTTCAGTGTATTCACTTTTCTCAAATGACTTTTGCTGCACTGAGGACAAAATTTTATATCTTACACAGTTTTCTTCTAAGCATTCATAGTAACTTAACCTGTTTTGGAGGTGCTTGGAATGTTACCATATATATACATATGTATATCTGATACCATATACCATACACACACACACACACACACACACACACACACACACACACACGTATCTCTGAGACTTCCTTTCCCCAGAATTATTTTTCACTCAGAAATATCTCCAAGGTATTTATATCCCAGAGAAAGTTAAAGATAATTTGCAATGTGTAATTACCATTTCCCTTAGGGAAATAATCAGCAAGAAGTTCCTTTTTGTTGTTGCTCTGCTTTTCCCCCTCAGTAAATCTTATAGTACATAAAATTGAAAAAGTTCACTCTATTTTTAGCAGCCACAATTCAGTCCCTTAAGATGACCAGTCTGTCTTTTCTGCTTTCCTCCTTCCCTTCCTCTCATCTTCCCTCCCCTCACCCCTCCCTTTCTTCCTGAGATAGAACATACACACGCACAGTTCTGTGAAATTTCACAATGCAAAGGTACCCATGCAGTTAGCATCCAGGTTTAGAAACACAGCATTGCCAGCACTCCCAAATCCTCTGTCTGTTCCCTGCCTGTTACTAGCTTCCAGATAAGGGTAGCAATTATCCTAGTCAGTTACCCACAAGCTCAGCAAGGGTCACCTACCCCCCATCCAAGGCCCAGCCAATCCAGATAATCCCTAATCAAAAATAAAGCTTTTCACCCCTGTTTAGGGGTTGGACCTAGAATTAGTCTTTACCTGGTTCCTGATATTCCTGAGAATGGCCAACTAGCCATGCCTAAGAAATTGTTTTCTTTCTGCCCATTACCCAGTGTGTTGGTACAGTCCACATAATTACTTCCTACCATGGCTACCTCATCCTCCACTGGTTGCTACAGCAATACTGTGTCTTAGCCCATCTCCCTGAGACCCACACATCTGCCTTACTGCCCACCATGTGAAAAAAGAGCATTGTCAAAGTGTGGCACCCCACATCAGCTAACTCCTCATTCACCAAGATATATCATACAGCTCACAAAAATATATCTCAGTGAGCAATGAACCACTTTTGTAATAATGATAGCAACAAAGCAACCATTGAGATTTGTATAGTTCTTTGCATCATTTTACATGAGGTATTGTAAACATATGCATGTTTCTAGATGTTCAGCCAGCTATGAGCTGTGTTGAGTTGGGAACTGTTGGTACTTTTGTTGTTCAAATGAAATTACAATTTCAAGTGACATTCAGGGAACAAGAATTGAGGTGGTTCCACTTCACCCTAAGACGGGTAAAGTTTTTACTTGATGGCATCATGTTCTTGGAAGGAGTATATGGCTACAGATTGTAGCTAATCGTCCTTCATCTCTGCCAGTGTGAGAACAACTCAAGAGTCTTAAACATGACGGATGTGCATTACATGAAAGAGAAGCATTTCCTGACCTGGATGTTGGATTTGATCACCTGCCTAGAATTGGAATCTCCATAATTCTATATGTATATGTTTTTAAAGATAGGCTACTACTCCTATTTCTAGTATAGTGTTGGTGTGGATGCTGAAGTGCCAGGGCCTGCTTTACAATGTGCCTCCCATTTCCGGAGAGGCCCGCGAGCTGCTGTCTATCCAGAAGCATCTGGGCTCTCTGAGCTCTCCTGACGTTGTGAGTGTTTAGATTGATTTTTTTCAACCCTAACTTTGATCTCACCAGATTTTAGTCTCAATCTGTCACTCATTTATACTTGTAGATCAAAAACTGCTCCTCTGTGGCACTCTGTTAACTGAAAGGCAGGGCACTTTGTTATGTGAGACAGATGGCATTGTCACCCCTTTGGGTCTGGTCTGTTCTGCCTCTCAGAATGTTCCTGAAGATTGTGCAGATGAAGAAAAATGACATTTGGTATCATTAAAAAAAAGTTACAAGAAATAAGTGTATAAAATGTTTCAACATTTTTGGAAATGAAACATTTACCAAATCTTAAAAACTTTAGGTATAAACGTAAATTTGTGAAAGAAGGAAGGCAGAGAAGGAGGGAGAAAGAAAAGACAGAAAAAAGAAGGAAGGAAGCACAGCAAACAAGACACGTGCTTTGCTGTTGCACAGAAATGCAGTTTGCCCCTGACTCTGGCCCCAGCGAGATTTCTCTCTGCTGTGGCTTCCTCATCTATGAGATGGGTACAATGCTACTTATGATATACAGTCATTCTGAGAATTAAATGAGGAAATGCCCAGCAGCAGGCACATCGAGGACACTCTACTAATGTCACTGCCCTCCCTACGCCCATTCTTAGAGCTTTATATGTAATAGGCACTGCATCTCATTTTAGCGCCTGAGATTTTGAGTGAACCGGACACGGCATGGCCCCCGCGTAGGTCTTTCCTCTTCTTTTTTAACATGCAAACCTCTTGAGAAAATACAAAATTACAGTGTTTCCCATTTCTGAAGCAGCATCCAGGCTCCATCAGGTAGCTCCAGAGTCTCCAAAGAGACTTTTTGAAGCCAGAAATGCAAATGATCAGCTTACCAGGAAGCCTGGCTCTTGCACATTCAGCCTGAACACAGAGACAGGACATTCTCAGACTTTTATGTAACATTGATGCTTAGCAGCTCTTAAAAATTGGTTGTGCTTGAGTCATGAAAACCAGACCAGAGAGGCATTATTATGGTTGTATGTTGCTCTCAGCCAGATATCCTTCCCCAGGTAAATGTAATTGAAAAGTAGACTGGAGAATCTGACATTCCTGAAAGCCGGCGCTTTGGGGGGACGTTCTGGGGTCCACCTGGGTCATCCTGGACTCTGGCTGGAAGGCAGAAGGGGTTTGATAGAAAGGGCCAGAGGGTTGGGGACTCAGCCTGCTGGAGTGTCTGTCATTCAGCATCCACGTACCATGTGTATGACATGTGACACCACCTCCTCTAGTCTCGGTGTCTTTACTGTGAAATAAGCCATTTGACCTACCTCATCGCTAGAGGCCCAGTTAGCTCAGACTAACACAGGGAAAATCTAGATAAAATGCTCAAGTGAGGTCATGGGCCATTTGCTTGCAAACCCCTCAGGACTCCACATGGGAAACTGGGATACTATATTTTTACCACACATTTCCACCTACTTATGTCCTTCAAAACGTCTTTACACATGTGTTAGGAAGAATTCCATAAAGTCTCCCTCCCCTATTCTGATTTACCTTTGTGCTATGTTCCTCTTCATCCCTCCTCTCCTACTAAAGTGCATTTGCCTCTGTGGAGACACCCTTAATCACTTCCCAGAGCAGAGTGGAGCTGCTGCTGCTGATTGGCATTTAATTTGGGCAGAGGGAGGGAGAAAGAGTCCACATCCACACCTTCAGAAAGAGCCACCTCTTCATCATCTGTTCTCCTTTGCCCACTTTGCCGGCCCTGCTTCCCAGGTTGGGGTGTCTTGAGGAGGAAAAGGATTTCAGTGCCTCCCCCAAGCCCAAGAGGCTGTGGGTGGATTACAGGAAGGAACCCACCCTTGCCCAAGTCCTCTTGTTGCACCAGAAGTACCCAAGACCCAGGCCTCAAGTTTAGCAAAGCCCTGGAAGCGGACATTTCTGCAGTGCCTGGCAGGACCCCTGGACCAGCCTGTTTCAGTACATTTAAGCAGCCACTACATAAGATAATCTAAAAGTTAGGGGCACCTGGGTGGCCTCGTTGGTTAAGCATCTGCCTTCGGCCTAGGTCATGATCCCAGGGTCCTGGGGTTGAGACCTGCATCGAGGCTCCCTGCTCAGTGCAGAGTCTGCTTCTCCCTCTCCCTCTGACTACCACTCCCTGTGCTTGTGTGCACACATGTGCTCTCTCTCTCTCTGTCAAGTAAATAAATAAAATATTTAAACACACACACACACACACACAATAACCTATGTGTTAAGGAATTCACAGATTTTGGAACCTGACATTTCATTCCATTTGGGATGAGCTTTGTGAATCCAGGGAAGAAAACCCCGTTAATATGGAGCATGGTCTGGGAGAAAAAGGCAGTTGGGGGACAGGTGACAGGTGTGAGGATGTAAGAGGTGGATGGGCTCCAGGGCTATCTGGGGCCTGGGGGACCTGCCTGGGGGAGCCATCAGAAGCCATTGTCTCCACAGGCTGCCTGCCTTTAAAGATTCTGCTTTCCTTATCCCTGAGGTTCATAAGCAGCTACTAGGGTTCCCACCTATTCCAGAGGAGGAGTTCCTTTTCCCTTGGGAAGCCTCCTAATCCTTGGGTATTTGATGTGGTGGCAAGGATACTGTTGAGTATGAAGAGTTTTCTCTCCCTGAGAAGCCCTTCAATGTGTGAGGAGAAGAGAGTATTAGCAGGGAATAAGCCACGAGACCAGCCATGTAGGTTTTTAAGATTTTGTTTTGTTTTGGTCTGCCTATTGTTAATTGGAGTCATACATCATGATGATCATGATGATGACTCCTCCTTGACCAGATAAACCTGGGAAATTCTGGGACTTAGAAAGCTGATCGAGTGGGTTAATTTGAGAATAAGATGTCTCAAAGCTTATGATGTACCACAGGGTAAGCAGAAAATCCCCAGGTTTTTGAGCTCTGATGACTAAATGTTCATGCTATCCTGTGAATGGATATGGTGACACTGGGCCATTGCTGGTACCAAAATTAAATGGATTCCTGGAAGTCTTGGGTGGTTTCTTATCCAGACTTCCTGCAGACCCAGAGGTGGATGCCCGTCTTACCATAGTCTCCTTTGTATTCTATGACTTTGCACAGTTTGGAGAGTAATACTGCTTTTTTCCCCCTACAGAACATTGATATCACCAATTTCAGCAGCAGCTGGAGTGATGGCTTGGCCTTCTGTGCTCTCCTCCATACGTACCTGCCTGCCCATATCCCATATCAGGAGCTGAACAGTCAAGAGAAAGTAAGTCACCTGCCCAGTCACCCCTGGTCATCCTCTAGAACATGCAAGGGGAATTCCTGTAATACTGTACATCCCAATGGGGTGGTGTTTACAGACTCCAAGTGGAAATTAGGTTATTGATACCAGGCAGAGATAATTATTGAGTGTATGACGAGGTTGTAGGATCCCACCCTCAGTAAATACTTCGCAGTTTCCCTCATTGCCTAGAAAAATGGAGTGAAGACCAATTTCCTGTGGCTGCTGAGAAGTTCCTATCACCCTTTTTTTTTTTTTTTTTTTTTTGAGAGAGAGAAAACCCTGGTGAAATTTCGCCTTCATGGTTTTAAAACCTGGGCCAGCATTTTCAGAGTATTTCCAAAGAACTGGAAGCACCATCAAAAAAATTTCCCTGCTTAGATAATCTTGAGAAACTGCATATTATGTCACATTCTTAGAGGTTCACTGTGCTCATTAGCACAGTAAAGACTTCAAGAAGTCCTACATTAAAGAAACCTATGTGGCTCCGTTTAACCCTACATAGGTCAGATTCAAAGAATTTTTTTAAATTACCCACAAGAGTTGGCAAATTTTCCTGTTGGAGGCCAACTGGTAGACTATGTGTGTCTCTGTCACAACTACTCATCTACCATGGTAGCACCCAAGTGGCCACAGATGAAACAAATGGGCATGCTGTGTTCCAATAAAACTTTATTTACAAAACCAGGCTGCTGGCCAGATTTGGTCCACAGGCTGTAGTTTGCCAAACCCTGACCTAGAACATCATATAAAATCATATTTCATAGAGTGTACTTAGGAAAATGCTGGGCCCTGCACTCATTCTCTCAACAAATATTTCTTGCCAGGCATCATACACAGTAATAAAGACAATAGTGAACAATGCAGACCTGACCTGTTCTTTGCCCTCTAAAGTAGATAGTCCATGGGATCCCTGGGTGGCTCGGCGGTTTAGCACCTGCCTTTGGCCCAGGGCACGACCCTGGAGTCCCGGGATTGAGTCCCACATTGGGCTCCCAGCATGGAGCCTGCTTCTCCCTCCTCCTATGTCTCTGCCTCTCTCTCTCTCTCTATGTCTATCATAAATAAATAAATCTTTTAAAAAAATAAAAAATAAAGTAGACAGTCCACAAGTGAGTAAACCTATTAGAGGTGATGTTATAAATAAATAAATAAATTGCACAAGAGCTATGAGAGAAACCTCATGCTGTGGGAGGGAACAGGTTTCCTAAGTTAGATCAGGAAGGCTGAGAAGGCCTCTCTGAGAGGCAATACTCTTCAGAACGAACAAGGAGCCAATAATACAAAGAGCTGGGGGGAGCTTTCCAGGGTAAGGGAGAGCAGCCAGATGAAGAAAATACCTGGGTACGGTCAGAGATGTGGAAGAGGAGGCCTGCTGGCCAGAGTGCAGTGAGTGGGGAAGAGTGACCTGTGATGGTTCTAGGGGCCAGACCCTGCAGGGCTCCAATGGATGGCTCTGGGAAGGATCTGCATCTTGCTGTATCCTTGATGGGAAGTCGCTAAAGGATTCTAAATGGTGGAGAGACATATCTAGCCTCACAGGTCATTTTCTGAGATGGGGAAGGAGTAGAAATGCTGAAAAGTTCTGTTTTGATTATCCCACACACTTTATTCTTAAATAAACCCCAAAGCATGGTCATGACATTGATGGTGATAATAACTGAACAGAGTGATTTAATTTTTTAGTGTTAAAGTACTCCAGAGAAACAGAACTATTAGGATGTGTGATGGGGTGTGATGGGATGTGTGTGGATGTGTGAGGCCCACCCACTCTATGGTAGGTAATGTGCTTTACCCAAAGTCTACCAATTTAAATGTTTATCTCATCTTAAAAATACCTTTATGGAAACATCTAGAATAACATTCTGGTACGATGACCTAGCCACGTTGATACATAGAATTAACCATTATAGAGTGAACAAAAATTTCAAGACATAAAATTTACGCATGGTGCTTTGTTTGTAGTCTGTGAAGCAGGGCTGGACAGGAGTATTAAACATTTGGAAACAAAACAAGAAAACCTGTTCTGTTTTCAATCATGTTAAGTGGAAGATGTTCATGAAGTATGTAGTTTGCAATGTCATGCAGGCAGTTGGATAGCAAATGTGGAGTTTGGAGAGGAGATGAGAGCTGGAATACAGATTCAGGAGTCATCAGTGAGTAGGTTAAGTGCTGCCTAATTGAGTTGAAATGATGGAAAAGTTCTATATTTGTACTATCCAATATGGTAGCCCCTAGTCCTATGGGCTATTGAATGTGGCTTTAAGTGACTGGAAAATTGAATTTTTAATTTTAATGGCTTTTCATTTAAATAGCTATGTGTCAAGTGTAGCTACTGTATCAAACAGGGCGGGTGTAGTTGATATTTTAAAGCCATGAGAGTGGAGATCATGTAGGTCCTAGGTCCTCAGGGAAGTTCTCAAGAAAAACTCCTCTGTATCCACTCTACTGCCAATGTTTTACTTCTGACACTTATGTAAATACATTTGGGGTTTTCCCACACACACACACACCAAGCAATTCTGCAACACTAGCTGGGTGTCCTAATGTGTGACTCAGTTCTGACACTCTCCACCTGGAGAGAGCATCGGGTCCCACAGGTTAAGGGCTGGGTCCCACAAGACTTCCCCCTCCACCTCAGCCCCAGTGACCTGTAGCTGTCACCTGTGCTTCTGACTGACCAACTATAAACCAGAGGTTCCCATGACCCCTTCCTTCCTTCAATAAATTTGCTAGAGTGGTTCACAGAACTCAGGGAAACAGTTCACTTACTAGGTTACCAGTTTATTACAAAGGATATTTGAATGACACTAATGACCAGCCAGTTGAGGAGACCCTTATGGTAAGATCCAAAAGGAGAGCAGGAGCTTTTGTCATCTTGGACCTTGGGGTGTGCCACCCTCCCAACACACAGATGCATTCACTACCCAGGTGCTTTCTGAATCCCATCCCTTGGAGCTTAATGGTGGTTTCATTACACAGGCATGGTTTATTAAATCATTGACTATTAGTGATTGAACTCAATCTCCGGTCTGTCTCCTGTCCCAAGAGTGGGGTCAGGGAACGTGGGAGTGAACATTCCAACTCTCTAATCACATGACTGGTTCCCCTAGCAAGCAGCCCCCATTCTTAGGGTATCTGGGGGGGGTTGAAAAATCACCTCTTTTTTTTTTAAGATTTTATTTAGAAAGAGGCAGAGACACAGGCAGAGGGAGAAGGAGGTGCCCTGCAGGGAGCCCCATGCGGGACTCGATCCCAGAACCCTGGGATCACAACCTGAGCCAAAGGCAGATGCTCAACCACTGAGCTACCCAGGCATCCCAAAAAATCACCTCTTTTTTTTTTTTTAAGATTTTATTTATTCATGAGAGACGGGGGCGGGGGGGGGGCAAAGACACAGGCAGAGGGAGAAGCAGGCTCCATGCAGGAAGCCCAATGCAGGACCCGATCCCGGGACTCCAGGATCCTGCCCTGAGCTCAAGGCAGGCGCTAAACTGCTGAGCCATCCAGGGATCCCCAAAAAATCACCTCTTTAACGTAAACTCAGGTGTGGTTGAAAGGAGTTTGTTATGAATAACAGAAGACATCAATTTCAACCTTATTGTTCTAAAGCCATTTTTGGAACCGAGGACAGAAACTGAAAATTATAACAACAGATGCTCCTGTGGCTCTTACATTGGGAAATTATAAGGATTTTAGGAGCTCTGCCCCAGGAGCCATGCATAAAAACCAAATATATATTTCTTACTATAAATCACACTGTCAAAGAGGCACAGAGAGAAGGCTAAGGCATCTTGAGGATTCCAGTGCTTGTTATCTAGGTAGAGAGTGACCCAGCAGTGGGAACCAGGGCAGAGCAGCCAGCAAGGAGGAGACAAGCTGGGGCAGTGTGGGGTCCTGTGCATCATGCCCCTTGCAGGCAGAGCCCACCTCCAGCAGTGACCTGTGTCATTCTCTTTGCTTTTCAGCCTCTGCCTTTTCCCTGTGATATTATGAAAATAATTGAGTAAAGAGTGGGCATAAAACAATTCAGAATAACCGGAGGACCTAGTAAAACTATAGGAAAGAGACGTCTAAGGACTTAGGCACACACTATCTAAAGCAGGAATCTTCCTGAAAATGTGAAATATTTGTCTTCTGTCCTACAAGGCATACCAAGGCTTTTTGTCCTCAGATCACTCCGGATCTGTTGGAAAATAATGAACATAAAGTATTTGGTTTCACACTTTGAATCACAAGCATTGCTTCCCTGTGAAAGTGCCTGTGATGCCCACACACCACACAGCCAGCTACCTAGTGACCTGTTGCGGATCTGGAAATATGCAGTAGAACAAGCCAGACACCACAGTGTACTCACTTCCTATTGTCTTTGTGGTACATGGGCTCCTATTCTCCACAGGTAGGGTTGAATTTTTTCCCCCTAATCTAGGATGCTGTTCTCAGGGAATACCCAGGTGGAAGACTTGGGTCTGTGAGATTAATGGTACCCCAGGAAGTTCAGAAATCATAAGCTGTTCCTCCTTCCTAGTTGGAAGTGATGAAACCAAGCTAAGTTTGACATCAGTGTTAAATAGGAAATTTCTGATAAACGAATAAGGATGTCTTCTAAGACATTAAAGAGGTATGTTAGAGCCAGTGGAAGATTTGGGCAGTTTTGTAATAGTGTAAGAAGGGGATCCCTGGGTGGCTCAGCAGTTTAGCGCCTGCCTTCGGCCCAGGGCATGATCCTGGGGTCCTGGGATTGAGTCCCCCATCGGGCTCCCCACACGGAGCCTGCTTCTCCCTCTGCCTGTGTCTCTGCCTCTCTCTGTGTGTCTCTCATGAATAAATAAATAAAATCTTTTTAAAAAGAAAATTGGTGCAGTATTCTAATTATTTTTTAAAGCGAACTACATGCCCAATGTGGGGTTTGAACTCACAACCCTGAGATTAAGAGTCTGAGTGCTCCACCAACTAAGCCAGCCAGTCACCCCCAGTGTAGCATTTTAGAAAACGAGTTGGCATTACATATCAAAAGCCATGACTTCTGGAATAACAGCAGCTGAAAAACTGGCTTAGGCCCTTCTTCCTCAAAACTAACCAAAAGAACTTGAAAATTAGCACAGAATAGGAGATGGCTGCCACAAGTTGGGCTCAATTAAAGGAAGCCAGGAGCCAACTTTACAGTTCCCTTCTCAGCAGAACAGAGAGCAGTGTTATGGAAACAAGTCTAAGGTTTCCAGTCCATGCCCATAAATTTCCCTTAATTTGGAGGAAGAGGGCTGGCGGCTTGGGCAAGATGACCACAGATCAACAACTTTCCCAGGCCTCGACCACAGCCTGAGAGAAAAACGTGCATAGCCTTGTCTTAGTATTTTTCTGTGACCTGGTACCTAGAACAGAAAGTTTGCCTCAGTGTCAGGGCAGACCTCAACTTTCAGGAAAAAGATGTGTGCCCAGGGACAGAGGGTGGGACCGTGGGGAAATGGAAAAAGATAAAATTGTGTACAAAATCCAAATGCATAAAATCACAAAATTCTACTGGGAAACATAAAACATGAATGCTTACTTCCAGAAACATGACTCTCTGGATTATACTTAATTTACCAATCAAATTAAATCTTAATGTAACCCTAATGACTCTCAAATGAATTATGGAGGGGAGGAGGCATGATTAAGTGATTCTTAAGTTCATCCAGGTGAGGAAACATCAGAAAATAGCCAGAAAGAGTCTCAAAAAGAAGCTACAAATTAGTGCTAAATGTGGAACAGTGCCTTTAGAATTCTAGGGGGAAATGCAAGATAGTGCTGTGATTAAACAGCTCTTGGTACACGACAGCATGTGTATGTCCAAAATCTGACAAAGTGAAAAATAACTGAACTAACAAATATTTACCTTTGGGTGTCAGGAATCAATCAGTAATGTCATTTTAATTACAACCTGTCAGTTGTTTTTTTCCTTAGACTGAAACCCTTGTTTGCATATTTGACTTAAAAATGTTAAGTGTTTTTTAATAGTAGATAATCTATGTAGAAGTGTCATTTAGTTTTCTTTCCTAACAAAAGCCATATATTTTTTAAAAGCTGTGTATTCTTATTTGATAATTCCAATCTCTGTCCTTTTAACCTAGAAAAGGAATCTCTTGTTGGCATTTGAAGCAGCCGAAAGTGTAGGCATCAAACCCAGCCTGGTAAGTATCCTGTTTTATATCTTTGTGATACTTTATTCTACTTAGAGGAGAAAGAACTTTATGCCATCTACTAAACAATTTCTTACAGAACATTAAAATCTATTTGCTAAAGATCTGTTACTCATGATCCCTAATGTAAAAATATTTGTGGGGTTCCTGGGTGGCTCAGTTGGTTAGACATCTGACTCTTGATCTCAGCTTGCGTCTCAATCTCAGGGTTATGAATTCAAGCCCCGCAACTTGGCTGAGTACTGGGTATGGAGCCTACTTAAAAAAAAAAAAAAATTAATCCAGCTGATCTAACCACATATGATCTAGAGTTTTTTCCAAAGATTTCACTGTGGATAAATTTCATTTCTGGAAGCACAGTGGACTGAATTATCATTAAAGCTCTACTGTTCGGGACACCTGGGTGGCTCAGGTCTGAACGTCTGTCTTTGGCTCAGGGCATGATCCTGGAGTCCTGGGATCAAGTCCCACCATCAGGCTCCCTGCATGGAGCCTGCTTCTCTCTCTGCCTGTGCCTCTGCCTCTCTCTCTCTCTCTATGTCTCTCATGAATGAATAAATAAAATCTTTTTTAAAAAAATTTTTTTAAACTCTACTGTTGGGCAGCCCCGGTGGCACAGCAGTTTAGCGCCGCCTGCAGCCCGGGGTGTGATCCCGGAGACCTAGGATCGAGTCCCACATCGGGTTTCCTGCATGGAGCCTGCTTCTCCCTCTGCCTGTGTCTCTGCCTCTCTCTTCGCTCTCTCTGAATGAATAAATAAATAAATCTTTTTTAAAAAAAATAAAATAAAATAAAACTCTACTGTTTAAGTCACCTAGAAATCTGATAAAATGTAATTATAAAAATATCAACACATAGTTGGGGTCTGAAGAAAGACTGGGAAATGGCCAGATGTCAGAAATTCAAAGAAAAGTGAAAAACAGAGCCATGAGGCATAAACTGGAGTGCTGGTAGAGGGCACGTAGTAAAAGGGTACCTAATGGGTATGTTTTATTTAATGTCCACACAGGAACAAGAGACAAGGCTCTGAGCTTCCATCAACAGAACATTAGTCCTGAGACTCTTGCACAAAACCCAGGCTCACAAAATGATGTTCTTAGTGAAAGGGAAAATAAAAAAAAAACCTCTACCTGCCAGTCTAGGGAGGTTATAAGGAAGCTTGATCTCCACCTTAGATTTTTTCGTGGCTGGAAAAAAAAGAAAATCTGTAAGAAAAGAAAACCGACCCAGACAAAATTTAGAGTCCAAATTTATAATATCTGTGCTAGGGACACTTGGGGGGCTCAGTGGTTGAGCATCCTTTGGCTAAGGGTGTGATCCTGGAGACCCGGAATTGAGTCCCACATTGGGCTCCCCACTTGGAGCCTGCTTCTTCCTCTGCCTGTGTCTCTGCCTCTCTCTCTCTCTCTGTCTCTCATGAATAAATAAGTAAAATCTTTAAATAATAATAATAATATCAATATCATCTGTGCCACAAGAAGCCCCTCGTTTATACTGAGGCAGAATCTTCTGAGCTAGTAGTACAATGGCCACAGTTACACTCACAATCCAAAATTACAAAACACTCAAGAAAATGATCCAGTTGAGCTAGTCATCAGAGCAAACAAGAGGATCATCTACCAGAGTGTGGGATAATAGTAAGAAAGAGAGTACAAAAGACTATGTTTAAACATATTAAAGAGGGGATCCCTGGGTGACTCAGCGGTTTAGTGCCTGCCTTCGGCTCAGGGCATGATCCTGGAGTCCCAGGATTGAGTCCCACATCAGACTCCCTGCATGGAGCCTGCTTCTCCCTCTGCCTATGTCTCTGCCTCTCTCTCTGTGTGTCTCTCATGAATAAATAAATAAAATCTTGGAAAAAAACATATTAAAGAGATAAAAGAGGGAATAAAAATCATAAAGAAGGAGCATGGTACTATAAAAAAAATATGGAGAAAGGATCAAATGACACTTGTAGAAATAAAATTGGGAATTAAGAAACCCAGCTGAGTTGAAAACCTGATTAGAAATAGCAGGAGAAAAAAAAAAAAAGAAAGAAATAGCAGGAGAGAGAACTCCTGAGCTGCAAAATAGAACTGAGGAAATTATGCAGAAAATAACACAGACATTTAAAAAGTGGAAAATAGCGGGATTTTATTAGTATGTATTCAAATTCAAGAAATGGGGATGGAGTATGTGCCTGGTTAGCTCAGTTTGTTGAGTGTCCAGCTCTTGATTTTGGCTCAGGTCATGATCTCAGGGTCATGAGACCCCCCCCCCCCGCCCTTACCCACACACACACACACTCATGCACATGTGAGCATGCTCGCTCTCGCTTTCTCTAACATAAATAAATAAAATCTTTTTAAAAAAAAAGATAAATTCAAGAAATGGAAAATCCAACTAACAGTTGCTTAAACCATAAAGCTGTTAATTTTATTTTTTAATGAGAAGTCCAGAAGCAGGATTGGTTCACTGCTTAGTATTTTTTTTTTTAAGATTCTGTTTATTCATGAGAGACATAGAGACCTAGGTAGAGGGAAAAGCAGGCTCCCTGCAGGGAGGCTGACATAAGACTCGATCCCAGGACCCCGGGACCATGACTCAAGCCAAAGGCAGATGCTCAACCATTAAGCCACCCAGGTGCCCCAACTGCTCAATATTATAAACAAGGATCCCAGAGTGTGTCTTATCTGCAGCCCACCATCTTTAACCTATTGGCTCTTTGTCCCCACGTCCTCTGCAGTTGAACATGGTTGCCAAGCACCAGACATTACTCCCATCTGCAGGACAGGAAGGACAGAGAACAGATAGAACAAGTGCCTCATATCTTACCCCTTTGATAAAGAAATCAAAAAGTTTCCCAGAGTCCCTCCAGCCCATTGGCAGTACCCTGTTACTTGACCAGCCCAGCTGCAAGGGAACTTGAGAAAGTAAGCAATTTATATTCTCCATTCTCTTTAGCAGGAAGCCTACAAGGGATAGAGAGATTCAGAATGACTATTAGATTAACCAACTGGTAGTGTCCATTGCAGAGTTTAAGAGAGTGGAAGATAAAATCAGACAATTTCTAAGTCCCATGATCAGTGGAAATTCCAGAAGAGGAAAGAAAGAGTGGAAGAAAGAATATTTAAAGAAATGGTACCTGTAGTTTTTCCAGAATGTTGAAAGACCATAGATTCTTAACCTCAAATAAGATGAATCAAATGATACAATGACTCCTGCATCTGGCTTCCTGTATGGAGCCTGCTTCTCCCTCTGCCTATGTCTCTGCCTCTCTCTCTCTCTCTCTCTCTCTCATGAATAAATAAACAAAATATTTTTTTAAAAAGAGAAGAGAGGGGATCCCTGGGTGGCGCAGCGGTTTGGCGCCTGCCTTTGGCCCAGGGCGCGATCCTGGAGACCCAGGATCGAATCCCACATCGGGCTCCTGGTGCATGGAGCCTGCTTCTCCCTCTGCCTATGTCTCTGCCTCTCTCTCTCTCTCTGTGTGTGTGTAACTATCATAAATAAATAAAAATTAAAAAAAAAAGAGAAGAGAAAGAACCTTAACTATTAAAGAAATTGAATTCATTGTTTAAAAATGTAATCATGCGCACCAAAAATCCCAGTAAGTCCAAATTCTATGAAACTTTTAAGAAACAGATGTCCCTATCACATAAATAAAAGGCTAGAGAATTTGGAAAAGAGATGACATACATGTCTGGCCAAGATGGAGTAACAGAAACCTGATTTATCTTCCCTTCTAAAACACTGAACAGCTACCAAGTAACAACATATAATCAACGTAAGGAATCAAAGAAGAAATGAGAACTTGTTAGATGATTGTCTATGCAGATATGTTTTCCTCTGTAGCATTACAGCTAACAATTGCTTTTTTAACATTTTCTCCCTTTTTTTTTTTTATCTGACACACTGCAGGAGTTAGTGAAAGCTAGGAATGAGATCATCTTGTTGAACTAATTGTCAGAGGCAGCAGTTTCATTTTTACGGATGTCTGAGACAAGATACTGGCAAGCATAATAATTAATCTCAAAAACATTTAGGGAGCATGTTTGTGAGCAATGTAACTAGTTGGTGCCGTCCACAAAACAGAAACTTCCCACATTATTAAGTTTGCTTTGCAGGGGATCCCTGGATGGCGCAGCGGTTTGGCGCCTGCCTTTGGCCTAGGGCACGATCCTGGAGACGCGGGATCGAATCCCACGTCGGGCTCCCAGTGCATGAAGCCTGCTTCTCCCTCTGCCTATGTCTCTGCCTCCCTCTCTCATTCTGTGTGACTATCATAAATAAATAAAAAATTTTAAAAAAAGAGGTAAGTTTGCTTTGCAGTATCTTGATGTGGATTGAAAAATAATCTTTAATTACACATGATAACTTCTAAATATATATATATATATATATATATATATGTATGTATATGCAGAATTGGCAGCAGTAATAACCCCAAGCCTTTGATCAAGATCTATTGTAAGATTAGTGAGGAAAAAAGTTCACTTATATGTGTATATCCAAGTAAATATAGGTTTCTGGTGTAGCATATTAGCAAGGATGAGATTATTTCTTAAATGAAAGCTCGATCATGTTTTCCCAATTTTAGAATGCGTTCCTTCTCAGCCACAGTGTAACACAGAGGTTTAGCCCACCAAGTGTGAGCAACTCTTCAGAGAAAGAATAGGTGAGAGAGGACATGTGGTATCATTGCTGTTACTGAAAAGACAGTCAGAATGTATGTCCTCCGAGGGTTGATGTGTTTGTATCCTGGTGAACAGAAGACCCTCATGCTGAGTCATACAGTCTGTTGGGGTGTTGCCTACTGAGTAAGCCACCCAAACAGTCACTACACACAGAGATCAGGACAGGGAAGTCTTTACAATTCAGGATTTTATAAGGCTATCAAAATGATTCCTTAACTGAGCCTGCTCTGTAGTATAAACTTTATGAGGTATACTTAAAGAATTAATGTGAGTTTAGCATTATGAAGTATGAAAATGTATGAAAAATATTTTTTG